CTTGGAAGCTATAAATCTCCTTCATGCATACAAGATAGAAAATGTATCCTCTCTACTTACAATAACTCATCCCGCTGACTTAATCCAATATAGATGATGAATTTCTCTTCGGCCATTTTTTTTCTGCACAAAGGATGATTCTGTTCGGTTTTAGGGTGGAATATAAATACTAATAGCACCATCTGCTGTCTGTATAAGTCTTCCATTCAGTTGCTGATGGAAATTTCCTAGAAGAAATTTTGGTTAGAAAAATGCTTAAAGAAAAGTTTCTTCTGTTTTGCTTCCTTTCTGTTGTTACTTCATAGGAGTTGATATGAATTAACAGCATGTTTTTATTAACAGTCCACAGAAATGAGTGTACGTTTTGCTTTGGAACAGCAAAAAATGAATGTTAAACTGGCAGCTGTTACAGGGAACAGTTAACTACAGTTAGGTCTGTTCAGAGCACATGATGTTAGAGTGAATATGCCTTATCCAGAATGGCACAGCTGGATGGCTGCGCTCCAGTGTTTTGTCTTGTTTTCCTGTCTGCATACTCATTCCTAAAAAACTAATAGTTTTTCAATTTAGATTTATATCAAAACGTAATTTTGGCACATAGATACTCTGCTGTTTATTTGGGAGAGGAAATCTTTAGTGCTCATGAATAAAGACTACACAGTCCTGGTGATCCTGTTATACCAGTGCAACATTTGAAAAGGCATTTACCTCCCTTGAAATCAGTATATGATTACGCTTACATTTTAATTTGAGGCTTCAACTGGATGTAAATACTGCAAAGTCTTTGAGCTAGTCTGTGAACAAGCTTTATCTGATGAGAGGAGAATCAAATAACATCTGTTTGAGCTAGTCTGTGAACAAGCTTTATTTTGATGAGTGGAGAATCAATTACATCTGATTAGTTGGTGCAAAAGTATAGGCAGCTTATGCTGTAATGTTGGTGATGAAATGGATACTCCAGTAAGGTACTAGGTACCATATCATGCACTCCAAAATAATCACATAAAGTGTGTGTACGAGTGCCTGGGAATAAATATGTAGTTTGAGCTAAATGCTGACCAGGATGCTTTCAGCAGCTTTCAAAAGGAGCTTAATTTGTTTGCCTTGTAGTGATTGACCATTTGCATAAATAAATGTCGCTATCGTGCGGACTTTTTAAAGAATCTGCCTATTTCATGCAGGAAGGTAATTTTAGAGCAAGATATTGGTAGTCCTAAGGAAATGAATATCTTTCTAAAAAATAGAGAAAGGTGCAGGCTAACTTCTGTTGTTATTCTAGTGAACACCCTAATTTACTGGTCTAGCTTCAGTTTGTAGGTGAACACATCTCACCTAACAGTTAAGCAGTGAAGAATATGGGGGAAGAAGGTACTTTTACCCTAAATATGCCTGTATCTTTTTTTTCTCATTTCACTCATTTAGCTCAGTCACACATGATTAACAGATTAATATCTACTTCTCTTTGAAGCTTAATACTCTGTAACAGGACACCTAGAAACACCTTACCAGCATAACAGGATTTTTTTTTTTGTACCTGGTGCACCTCTTATGCGAGTATAACACTATTAAAATATTGAATGTTCAGGTTTATCAACTACCACTACCACTACAACGTAGTGCCAGAGAAATACTGCACTGAAGTTTGAATGCTTAAAATAAAAATGGGAAGGAAGTGCAGGTGCTTGGTTTCACAGTGTTAGCACAGCCATGATTTGCATATGAAGTGAATTCAGCTCTGATCTCAAAGAGGGATGTTATAAAATCAGTTTATAATCTTTGTCTAGAAAGCCTGCATCTCCTTCAAGTGAACTGCATGGTAGGTAACTAATACATATATTCTTGTGTAAAAGGGCAGAAACACATGGATTTTAATATTTTTTTTTCCATTTGCATTACATTTGTCCGTTTGCCACCTTTTCCTAGTTATGGTCTATTTGTTTTCTTTCTTGTAGATGGGACCGTGCCACATTTCATGGTTATTGTGGCTATAGCAGTTACAGATGGTTTTAAAGATGACTTAATGAAAAGAAAATCAAACGAAGTTAAAGCAACGAAAGTGATTTTAGAAGGGGAGGGCAGCCATGTTACAGCTGAGCCCTCCAAGACATTTGTAAAGGCTCTGCAGCCTGTGTTTTAACACCACAAAAAAAATATGCATGGAGGCTTGAAAAGAAGTTTTAAATACGAAAGAGAATAATAAAATAAAATGCAAGGCATGAAGTTGGACTAAGCGCGGACTTTTTCCAGTGTCCTTTCCTTTTTGTTCTGCAGGTTGGAAGTCGCAGGGTTATTCAGTATGGGGCAGCCTTCATGCTCTTGCTTGGGATGGTTGGGAAGTTCAGTGCTCTCTTTGCATCGCTGCCTGACCCCGTGCTTGGTGCCCTCTTCTGCACTCTCTTTGGTAACGTATGTTTTTTTGCTCCTCTCTGTGTCTTGTGTGGCTATACCTTTTTACTCTAGTGCTGTGTTTATATGTATGTTGCTATCTTTTTTTGAAGAAAAAGGCTATATAAAAGCTGAGACTTGCTTTATTTTTATTTAGGGATGATTACAGCCGTGGGCCTGTCTAACCTCCAGTTCATAGATTTAAATTCTTCTCGTAACCTGTTTGTACTTGGATTTTCCATTTTCTTTGGACTGGTCCTTCCAAGCTATCTCAAACAAAATCCACTGGTCACAGGTATGTGTTTCTGCTCATTTACAGGAAGCATACTTTTACCTTGTATTCATATGCAAAGTACATACAAGTACAAAGTAATGTAAAGGGTAAATAAAAGAAAAAACAAAGTATTATGGAGACAATAAAAGCTATTGATAAGAAGGCAGGTGTGTTCAGAGGAGAATTAATTGAGATGTTGAGACCTGAATTGAATGTTACAGTGGGATACATCTGAAGTTGTCCTGCTTTCTCAGGGTACGATTGTAGAGCAATGGAAAGAGGCGATTGCCAGTTGGACTGGAAGAAAGACTGAAAGGGTGAATCTGAGTTGTAAATGATGTTAAAAGAACAAGAAGAAACACCAAGATAGAGCTTGGATGCTAGTAATTTGTTTTGGGTTTTGAAATTTTTTGTCACTGCAGACGTGTTCT